CGACTGGATCATTCTGTTATAATAAAACTGGCATGTTAAAGGCATTCTAAAGAAATTAAAGATTATGTGCTGCAACTTAAATTGCTATTATTGTCTAATACTTTGTATTCTAATTTTCTTAGTGTCAGATATTTGGTACGTTTCATGTTTCAAAAGTACTTTGGCGTCAGATATATGGTACTCTTCATGTTTCAAAATGTTAACTTTCATTTCTATTTCATGCTAGTTTTGGAAGTTAACTTAGCAATTGCATCATGAATGTAAAGTAAAAAAAAAGACAGAGAGGAAAATAGCGGCAATAAATTTTTATGTGTTATTAAAATAAGTCTTACGCCCACTTCACAAATATTGCGAGATTATTCATATCCTACCTATTTAATATAAATAAATACCCCTAATATATTTAAATAAGTAATATTTCAAGGATGTGGGATTTAGAAATAGCATTAAAATTATTTATCGTGTAACAATTTTCTAGGAACTTCTTTTTCTAATCTCATATACATTAATAGCTTTGCATTGAAATTACATCAGAGATTTTAAGCAATTATAAAAAAATGCTTTATCATAGAATCTTACATATGAGTTATCGATTGAGTATTTATTATTCTGAATTATTTGCTCAATTACAAATTATAAATTTTAAACATAGTTTACATTTTATTTATTGCGCAGCCTTAACACGGTTCTTTTGCATTACGACAACAAATATGGTTATGTATAAAGTATATCTCCCTATATAATTATTAGTCGCCTGACATATTTTGGGGAAAAGTTTGAAAATATAATACCAGTCAAATTAAAAATATTATGTATTCTTATTTATATACAGATTGGTCATTCTGAGCTACCATGCTTTATACGTGTGGGAAATAAAACTATCAACATTGTGGGAAACTATACAAGCCATTAAGGAAATCTCTTGAGGAAGCAATAAAACCATTAACTTTTAAGGCTTCACAGCAACAATAAAATCCTTTTATCATGGTTTTGCATAAATGGGGTTTCTGTAAAACATTTTATGTAGACAGTGAAAAATGCTTTAAATATCTCTGTAAATTTGTAAACTGAACGTATTCTGACCGAAAGCACAGTAACATGTTTAATTTTCTTTCTAAACAGTAGAAAATCAAAGCCAAATAAAAACTGTATGCTTGTTGTAAATTAATATGAAAAAAATTCTTCAACTGCACTAGAGAAATGCCATTATTTATATTTTGGTTAAAGTAAGGATCCTGAGTATCTAGTCAAACTTTAATATAAACTATCAAAGTTCAAAATGCCAAGCTTTTCTGCTCAATAAATACATAGCTTGCCTTTTTAAAATTCCCTTATGAAATGCTTTTCATTAAATCTTAGCTCGGTAAATGAGAAGAAGGAGACCTTTTTTGTTAAAACATTACAGAAATATGAGAAAAAGATGTCATATTCTTTGGAATGTTAATATGATTCAGGTTGTGGCTAAATACTGCATTATGAAAACCAACATTACGTGAAAAACAAATGCACTGTTATTTTGTTAAGTGTAGGATTTAAAATAAAAAAATTCTTATGTAAATAAACTTTTCTTCTTTGTATAAATATAATATTTTCTATTTATTTTAGGTATTTTCTACTAAAATGACAATGCATTTTCTGTGAAATCTGTTTTTCGATTCCCGTTATTTAATTAAGCAGGTTTTTTTAAAAATTTACTTCAGTCTCTGAAAGATTAACACAAATTGCATTAGCTCCGCAGCATTATTCTTTATTTACCAAGTTGTCCCGCCAAACGTCAGTATAACTGCAGAAGTGCACTTTTAGCTACTACCGCTAGGTGATGATATAGCATTTGAGATGTATCTGTGACAAAATTCTATCCCTTTACGTTAAGATATCTCAAGACCGTATGAGACTCCAGAAAACTCACCAGAAATTATTTAAGCTGAGTTGAAATGATTATCTATCTGGGCATATTAAGCTGCCCTGAAAGGCTAGTTACTGAGCTAAGAATTCTACGCTTTTAAGAGCTAGGAGTTATAAGCTATCTGCGAAGTATTAGACACTCAGTTAGGAAGCCAAGCGATTCTTCCACTAGCAAACTCCGAATTTAAAAACCACTGCATGACTTTCCTTAAAGCGGAACTGAATCAAAGGAAGAAAATCTTAAACCTGCATGACAGCTGAAGACAGAGGTAGAAATAAATTTCCCCTTTATTATTATTTGTTTAACGCGCGTTAACTGTTGGGCTGATTAATTGCATTAATCGTGGTTTTCCTGTATTTAATTTCAGTAATCTATGTATTTTGTGATGGAAAAGAATGCCTTTCAAAAACTCAGACCAGCAAAGTTTTGTGTAATATATGATGCCTATTTTTATAAAGAATTTTTAGAAATTCAATGAGTTAAATTATTTTCTTGGAAATAATATTTTCCCCTTAAAATGCACTTAGAAATTATACTTAACTAACATGCTTAAATAATTTGGGATTTACGGAATGGAAACCCACTTCACCTGACTCCATTTTAAAATGCAGGGTGTGTTTCTATTTTTTATACTTTCACTTTTTTTTAGTTTCCTTTTATCTATCCAAGTAATGACCAAAAGTGTCCTTTCTGATGATCTTGTTATTCTGTTGCTTACCTTGCGTCCACAAGGATTTCCTTACTGCTTCGTAAATCGCGTATACTTTTCGAGAAGAACAAGTTGGGATTTGTTTCCAGATAAAGCAATGAATGCAATCTCCACTCAGCTGAGGACACCCCTAATAATATTTACGAGGAGAAGGCAAGGCAATATCTATTTTTATGTTCAAATCCTTATATCAATCCTTGTCAATAAAAGGACTTGAGGCGACTTTTATGTGGTCTGTATAGTAATGTTGTTATTTACCTGCTTGAAAAATGTCAAAGTTTAAATTTTATAAGCGCGAGAAGAATTTCACACTGCGATGAGATACTTACGATATATTGGTTCATGTTAATACCATATTATGTTTTTCATGCAAATCTTTATTTACTTGTGGTTTTACGAGTACAATACATGTTTAACACTCAAACACTTTTTGATTTGTAGAAATATCTAGTTTATAAAAAGTAATTATGAATGAGAATATTTAAATGCATGCTTAGGTTAGAAGGACACAAAGTTAAGACGTAATTAAGACTGAATCTTACTGATTTCTTTGCTCCTGCCGAAGAGGGACCTGAATCTGTTTGCCCTCGAAATCGATTGAGTTCTTGATATAAATTTACGCCTAACTCAAGGTTGTCGTGTTACTGATTTTATGTTTCACTTGGCGTGTTTCTCTTCTGCTTTAAAAAAGAAATATATTAATTAGTGCAGAATTGTTGATTATAAAATCACTACGCTGAACATTCGACCTCTCCCGGAGAAAACCGATCTCCAAACTAACGTTTTCATTTAACTAGAAGGCGCTACTTACTTTTAAGATTGAAGTTTAGGAGGACCAGGAACTAATTTGTTATTTGTTCTTACTGACGCATATAACTTTTAAAAATCTAAATTATTTCTAATCTAGACATCGAATTAAATTTATGTAGGAAAAGGACATCTTAGACATTTGGCGTTTGTTGTTTTAATTATCGCCTATCGCTGTTTAAAGTAATCACAAATATCCTCTCAGAAATATAGAATTTGTTTCTAATTGGCCGTTATTAACTTCTCATAGCAGAGTTCAGTGCGGCATCAAAACTGTAAATATTTGCCTTTCATTAATGTTTAGATAGTTTCTGTTTTATGTATCTAACATAGATAAGCCTCTCAACATTTCAGTCTTTGAAATGAAATGTTCAGTTTAAACTAATTTATTATACGTATGATAGCTAAAATAAATTAGCGAATTTAATTAGTAGATTATGTCATCCATCATAGTTAATGAGATTAAATTAACACCACATTTAGACTGTCGTTACCGAATTTTGGCCTGATACGTTAAAGTCGCGTTATGTATGCGTGGAATAAATTTAAGAATCTGATAGATATTAAATTATAATTATCATTTCGTGATTCTGGATCAGTTTGTGGCTTGAAACTTTTTAATTTAAATACGTAATCTTTAAACACTACATGTGCTTGGAAAAAAAATATTTTTGCTTGCAACTCATTTGAAACTATAAGAATAGGATGATAATGAAAGGAAAGTGTTTCTTTTTAATATTCTTCGGTATCAAAGATTTTGCCATACTAGTGGTCAGATATTTTCGATGTATAACTCATTCTTTTCTAAGTTTGTACGAATGCAATGAAACTTAACCTGTGAATGCCTATGGGTAGCAAATATAAGGTCTTAGGTTCCTCGCGAGCGCCTGGCTGATATTTTGAGGTTCTTTCTATCTAAAGTAAGTTAATATCTAGATCCCGGAATTAAAATTAAAGAATGATGATTTAATAATTCTGCAAGACTTGAGCCTTTTCATTCATTCCCGCTAGACGTCAAATACCAATGACAAATGAGAATGATTAGTGTTTATATCGGAAGTTTCAAGCACTCTAAGATGATATCAGGATCAATTAATGGAATACCTTCAAATTTGTTTAGCGACTTCTGTGAGGTATTTAAGAGAGACACTTCTGAGAAATGTATAAAGTGTGGTATATATTCATGTTTTAAGTATTATTCTTTCTGTTGGCATAAACATTAAAAATATGTCACATAAAAAATTTTTGCGTGATGCACAATGCAGAAAACTTATTTGGTTTCAAAATCACGGATACTATCACACTCACTTAGTAGTACTATCATTCATGTGACACATGTTGAGTAAAAGTTATGATTAAATGCAATTTTTTTAATGCATTGGACTCTTACTCAGAATTTCAGATCATATCTTTTATAATAAGATAATGTGAAATGAAAAACATGTGACAATTTATGGCTAGCTATTATTATTCTGTTGTTGTAAGACTGTGGTAGATTTAGTGTTATGATGAGTAATACATGATTGAGATCTTCATATGCAAAATTTCTTCTGATGTCCCCTTTTATATATTTTTCAGTGTCCTGAAAATGTTCGCCCAACATAAGGATGATAAGAAGAGGGTTGAGAAAGCTTTGGAAATGTGTGGACTGCCATCTGGAAAGGTATTTCTCCTAAACATGCACTTATCTTAAATGCTACCAGAATAATTGCCTAAAAATGCAGCATTTTTAGATTATAGTTATAACTGTTGCTTAGCTATATTCCAATCATTAAAATAATTAAGGATATACACGTTTAAGAAGCGTCTTCTATTAATTTAATTGTTGTTTAGATATTCAAATTTCGTTCCCTGACAAAATAGGAATAACAGTGGAGGAAAGAAAGTATTTGTTGTAAGCCATGTGCACAAGCGATCTAGTCAAACAAATGAGAGCTATATTTTAATAATTTCAGACATTTCTTTATCAAATGAGTGCACAGATCTTCACTTCACATTAATACAAGATAAAGTAATATCACATGAAATATTTTTGCCTCGCCTTTTTTTAACTTTGTCATTTATAATAGATAATTTTAAATATAACATTTTATACTCTATATCTTTCTGAAGAATAAATTCTTAAACTAGTAGGTCTATCATAATTGCCCCCTTTGAAATTATTTAAGGAATTAAATAGAAATTTGCATGTAAAAGTCAATTTATTTTTAATTTTATGATTTTTAAATTTATAATTTTGTAAACAATTTTTAGCGTTTCTAAATGTTCATAGTTAATTCTTCAAGATACTGTGCTCTTATCTGTCGTTTTCAAATCACTAGTTTTAACTTTTATTATTCATTTATCTTCAGTTACGCCCAATAAGCTGTTATATTCTTATATAGATAAGATGTTAGATTTCAGCTACCCTAAAACTCCACAATTAGAACACAAAAATATGCAAACAAATTAAATTAGAGTTGAAATACTTAGCATGTTTTGCTACTTAAACGAGCTATTTACATAATTTAATGACTAAATAAATATATAGAAAGAGAAAAAGAAAGGAAACTGAGGAAGCATGTATTTAAGAATTAATGAAAACAGGTTTAACTGAAGTGGCTTATCATAGAGTTTTACAAATGGTATACCATTAGTGAACTACATTCTTTGAATCTTTGATAGCATTTATATTTGAACACTGAAGAGCAATTTATTAGACACATACTGTTATAATATTTTATATTAATAAATATATGCAGTACCAATATTTAGGGCTAATTTAGTTATAGAAAATTATTCATTCTAATAAAATGCAAACAATCGATTACTCATTCACAAGTGCTATTACGTATTATAAAATCTGGATTATTTACTCAGGAAAACTTCTTCCCAAATCGGAGACATTGGAATTTCCCCCCTCCAGTGGTCAAGTAGGTCAGATCACTGGTAGATAGTGCCGTGTTCAAATCTCGCGAAGTAAACCAGCTGCAAGAGTGTTTTCGTGATTTGTTTCATAAAAATGCGAGAGTGTTGCCCGCAAGAAATCCTGTACGAAGGCATAATTCCCATTAGGCAGATAGCTGTAGTGTACTTTGCCTCAATCAGTTAAATAAACAACCAAAAAAAGAATTATTGATTTTGTTTTCAGATGATTTTCAGATGATTTTGTTGTGCAAATGGTATATTATTAAGAATTAACAAATGAATTTAACATTTCATGGGCAGTGGAAGTATTACATCGGTTGTTTGAGTGCTACAATGATAGGTGGAATTTTTTTCAAAATATATTATTTAAATTCATTTGCTTCTCAATCATGTTTACATACATAAATAGTTTCCACTTATAAAATGGATCACTGAGTTTTAATGCATAACTTGTAGCCAAATACATACCTTTACTGAATTTTAATGCAAAAATTGGAGCTAAAAAACAGTCACTTAGATTTCCTTGTCTACAAGCATATCGACTAGTGGTAGACTTCAGTAACTTTTACAAAGCTCCATAAGAAATAACACACACATTATTTCAATCAATTACGGTGAAAATATTGAAAGATTATTTATTTTATTTTATCAAAAGTAATTTGAATATAATGTATAATAGGAGACTTAAAAAAATAACAGACTCTTTCCCTCCCAGGTTCGAATCCTGGAGAAGACATGGATGTAATTTGTCCGTCCCTTCATAGGAGGCAACGGTCTCTTTATTACGGAAATACCTACCTAATATGTATTTCCGTAATATAAAGAGACCACCGCTTGCGGCCTTAGTAGTGGCCATCGCCTAGAAACGGCTATAGCCAAACATTTGAAAAGAAAAGAAAATGATTTGAATGAGTTCATATATAAAAGTGTAGTGTTTACTTATTTCCTGTTAGTAATGTATTTTTCTTAAGTTTGTTAATATTTGGTATTTTCTGATTTCTTGTGCCCAAGAAATCATTTCGGAAGTGTATGCAAGAAGTAACTATGCACAATATGATTTATTGATTTTTATAACATATTCAGCTTAGGTATTGAGCAATTCTAAATCCCTGATTCATTTATTTCTGACTTAATTCAAAGTATACTTTAAGATAGAAAGTGGTTTATTATTTCGCAGGGTTTGATGGGTAAGTAGAATTAGTTAGGTACTATACCTTTAATTTTACTAAGTGATTGTTTTACTTTGGCTTACATGTTTATTTTTATTTATTGTTTTATTTCGGTTATACAGTTACTTTTCTTTACTTAACTTTTGGTTTGTAGAAGGACATTATTTATACAACAAAACAGTAATTGATTTTATGTATTTTTGATACTATTTTGTTTTTTTGTGAATTATTTGATAAGTCACTTGGTCTGCCATAATTCTTGAAGAAAAACATATTTCAAACAGTTGATTAGATCATCAGACAAAAATTTAAGAATTAAGATTAAAAATTAAAAATTTTAAGAAAATTTTGTATTTTAAGAATTATTTAATAATGAATGAAATACTTCATTCATACTTGGTTTTGGAAATTTCATCAACAATCTCAAGTATTTTTCAGCATTTTATGTTCTAGAATCAATAAGAAATGTTATGAAAAGCTTGTAAACAAAGTGATTTTGTCGTCGTCTTCTTGCAATAGCTATGCTAATAGCTAAACATTTTGCAATCTAAAATTGCAAATACTCCCCATGTTAAAACACAATCTCATATTTCGCAAAGAATATTCAATAAACTGTAGGCCATGAGTTTCCTTCAGAAAGAAAATCACACATCTCCTCCCTTATGTAATTATTCGATTATTGCTATTTTCTTGTCTTTGATTTAGAAAGCAGGGTACATACTATAATTAAAGGCAAGGCAGCAAAGAGGTAATTAAGTTGTCAGGTTTAAGCGTATCATGCAGTCAACTAAAAGCAGCCTTGTATACGTTGATACTACACTTGCCATTAGAAAAGACTTACAGAGTAGATAATTAGATAATTGACTACTCATTCTCATGTATTTTCTGCTGAAGAAAAGGAAAAGTCTCGAGAAATAGTACAAGCTTAATACAAACTGATACTGTTACAACGTCACTGGTTTGTAAATAAAAGAAGTATATATCGGTGGGAGCACAAAGACTAAAATTTATGGAACTTCGGTACCCAGAAAAGAAAGACATAATCTAAAATTTCTCCAAATATTGTGTTTTAGGAATTTTTAAAAAGCATAATTTTATTATAATATTTTTAGACACAAAATTTAAATACATCATGATCTAAAATAATGAAGTAATTTAAACTTTTCAAAAACACTCATAACATGTGAATAGAGTTTTTAATTGAAATTATTCTTCTAAGTGAAAAAAAAACTTTAAAATATGTTGGAGAACTATTCACTGGATAGGCTGTCAGCAATAAAAACAAAAACCTTGTCGTATGGAAGCACTCATAATATTTTACTCACTTGATAGACTTCTTTTTATTTCGTGTGTGCTTTCATTGTCTTTTCTTTTTTATTTTTAAGGGAGAAAGGCTCACGCAATTAAAAAAATTCAAATAATTTTTGACACTCTAAAAGTTCATCTCTGAAAAGGTGAAATGTAAAAAACTAGTATAACAATATGGAGGTAGATACCGTTTAGAATTTGAAAGCAGTTTCTGCTTAGAATTAATGTACTACTTGTACTAATATTTTTTTAGATTATATTAAGCCAGTTTTATAATTAAGTATTTTTAACTTTCATTTATAAAGATTTACAGCCACATATGTGTACATATGATATGAAAAATTTTAAATTTCCTTGTAGATTTGCAAAAGCATTATGGAGAGTCATGGTCATATTTAAATTTATCTTTAATCCTAAAAATCAGTAGACATTTTAATGTATTTAGAATGTTGTATTTCGTGAAATTATCTGAATATTAAGAATAAAAATTCATATAGGATACTAAATTTTGCATACAAATTTCAAGGTACTCTGTTATACAGTGATAGAAAATAAAAACTCAGCACTGTTAGAAAACTGAGCTAGATGAATTAATTTTAGGTTTTATCTCTGCATTGAAATCATATAAAATAGAAGGTGGAAGGTGACTGTGCTATATTAAATATAAATTATGTTTACGTCAGTAACGACTGTAATCACCACGACATTGAACATAGGCATACAAATCTGCTTATGTATGCTTCCATTCATAAAGTGATCGAATTTTGCTTTTCGATGTTTAGTTTTTAAATTAGTTTTTCCAATCTTGGGCATTCGATCGGCATTTCGCTCTGTTGGCTGTAGTTGAGCATAAACCTGATCTCCATTCGTATTGTAAAGTCATGTAGATCTTTCTCCATTCAGTTTCTGAAGTAAGGTAGATCTGTCGCCCCGCTTTGGCAATAACTTCATTAGTTAAATAGCATGCTCTTAGTTTCCAATTACGGTATGGAGAACAGCATTATCTTGTTGATATAAAATAACTTGGATACTATTTATGAATGTAGAAGAACAGTTTGAATCTCTTTCTGATGTAAACGCTTGTTTCTATGAAGTTTGAAGTAAAAAAGAAGGGAATTTCGCAATCGCGGAGAAATGCAGCTTGGTGGCAGGAGTTCACCAAACTTTCTCCTGATTTATGTTAGTTCGTCACTGGCGCCCAGGCGGAAACGACAAATGCTATGTCGTTGAAGCTACATAGCATTTGTGAATATATCATATCTCCACTCTTCACTCCACTGATTGTAGTTTAATATAACTGAACACACATAAGAAAGTGATTCGGAGTTAACAGCAAACACAACATAAATGGCCTGAATCTATTCAATGAATGATTCAATACTGCTCGTATAGCAATTCTCACTCTTAACGAAACTCGAATTTTCGCTGCAGCAGTTCACTTTAATAACGCCATCCTGTTATCTGCCCATTATCATTTGGAATGAGTGAATTCAGATCTAGATGTCTTGTAAAATTAGTTATTCGGAACCGATGCTGTTGATAACTGAAAACTGTGGTAACATCTCGACCCATATGTTCCAGAATCTGTCGATAGGAAAAACCGCCTTTTAGAAGCTCCACGTTGTTTCATTCGAATCGAGCCATATGACAACATTGACGTCTCTACCGCTTTGGAGGCATTCTTCATTTTCGACAATTTAAAACCAATAATTGCAAAATGAAACGAATGCTTGAGAAGTAATTCGCATCTCACCGGGTCAACACTACTGGCGCAAGCAATGCGTAAGACATCTTTTAAGGGTTTTTGTCGGGGTAGTCGAAGTGTCCTGGGTTGAAGCTGATGGCAACCTGGTTTAAGTGTTCTTTGTGTTCTAATTTTAGCTTACCATCACCGTTTTATTTTAATCTTTTCGGTGTGGGAATTTCATATTCCATCTGTATTTAAATCATTAATTTATATTAGAAATTGCTCATTCATGTAAGAGCATTGTTTATATCTCATAGATAAGCATAGAAATTCAACAAAAAATAACAAACTATGTTATAACATCAAGAATATTGTAGGATATATCTATTGAATAGTAAGAATTGTGTAGTTTAAAAACAGTTTTTATAATCAGGTGTTTACTTTGAGTGAAATGAAATTCAGCTAAATAGATGAATGTACTATTATAGCCAGAGATATTATAAAACTAATTTTTATTTTTAATACCAGCATATTTATTCATAAGAATCAATTATTGTTTCTATAAACCTTAAAATACATGACCTTTAGCCTTTTACTGACTTTTTGAATAGCAAGAAAGATGAAGAGTAGAGAAAAGAAAGAAAAAGAAAAACAAATGAAACTAATTTCTGACGGAATGTGTTACTTGTAATTTTTAATGAATTGTAATACTTAGTATTTTAGTAACTGTTTTGTCATAGGTGTGCTAGCAAGCCGGCATCTACCTTCAGACGATATCGTTTCTAGAATCGTCATCGTATCGTCCAAGCCCTTGGTGGCAGTTGTTGGACCGGTTTTTTTCCTCTTCTGCTGCTGGCGTTCGGGGGTGTAGGACGGGTTTCGGTCTGTCCTCTCCCTGGCCAATATGATGTGCCATTTTCCTGCTTCGCTTTGCTGATCCTTCGATGCTGTCTGCCATAGATGAAAATCCTTTTAGTGAGATTTTTACATGAAGATTCAAGAAAATAATTACTCCTGTTTCCTGTACATCATAGCAGAAAATAATTTTTTTCAGCTTCTTCCTCCTTTCCAGAACTCTTCGCGCGCACGTGTTTGTGAGATCTGAAACTTCCTGATTTAAAGAAGAAAATGCAGAAATACCAGGATTGATCAAGTATGCTTAATGATTGCCATCAAATTTTGATTGTTTCTTTTACACCAAGACTTTGTTCGAGCGGATCGAGAAAGATTGACTTTATTCTCAGTGCAATGTTAACTCTAGTGATGCGCATCACTCGTGCTTGATGTTCAAATTCATTCGTCTGTCTGGTTGATAAAATTATTTATATTAATGCTTATTTCAATATCAAAGATGAAGAATAAAATATAATTGATTTGGTAACATACAGTTGTCATACTCTGGGGTAAGTACTTTATTTTGCTATCCTCTGTGGGTCACATATTTTTATCCCTGTCATTCGGGTTATTGCGGAAACAACGTGATGTACTCTTAATCATTGTTATAATTTCTTCGCTGATAATTACATAAGAAATTAAAATATATATAAATATTTTTACTGCTACAAATATTTTCACTACTTATAGCCTTTCTCAATTAATATTTTCACCACATATGGTGCCGTAATTAATTTTACTTCCTATACTAATATTTTTTACTACAATAGGCTCCTGAGAGTTGTTGAAGTTTTTTGGCTTTCTGAGAATTCCAATCCAGTGGTCATAAACTCACCATAATTGAATGCATAGTTTTTGTACTCCAGTGCTGAGATCAATATGTTTTTGAACAATGGAATTTCAAAAGCGGTGGTTTAAATGTTCTTCGCTAGTATACTATCATAGAATCATATATTTAATTGCAGCAATTATAAAGCTGAGCTAAGCTTACACATAGAAATAAATTTTTTTCTCTTTAAGTTTTATCTTCACTCTCACTTATTTAGCATATTTTCTCTTACAGAATGATACAATTCCAGCAGAAAAGTTCACAAAAGAACTGTTCTTCACCTTTTACAGGAATCTCGCCTGTCGGGACGAAGTCGACAAAATTTTTGAACGACTGTGAGTATAATTTCTTCGATAAAGAGATGAATAATTCATCTTTTCAAATATCAAATTATATTTCTATTTATTAATTTCCTTTTATCAGTTTTGAAACTTGATTTGCTAGGTTCATTTCATTTAATAGGACTATTTCAGGGTGCTACGTGTTACGAAATATTGTTTTGTACTAAGAATTTAACTTTAAACAACTAAGTTAACATTTATTTATATTAACATTCGTAATACTCGTATATTTAGCAAATAATACATTACGCAGTTGCTAATGTTGAAATTTTGTTCGTTTAACATTTAACATCATAAAGGTAACACAAATAAAGTGACTGTAACATGCTTTTGAACTTTCACATTATAGGTAGTAAATAATTTCACTTTATTTGTGCAAAAATATGCTCATTTTTAAATTATGAAAATATAAAGTAAATAATTCGACAAACTTTATAAATTTATTTTGTTAATTAAACTTTCAAAATTATTTTCAGTAGGAAAGTATAGTGGGAGCGTACACTATTTTTCGATTTGTTTCTCAGCCCTCCTTAGTAAAATTTCTCAGTCCTCCTTAGTGAATGATTACCTGAGCTTTAAGTAGATTTTACAGTAAAGGATTTAGAAAAATCAAGGAGGCAAATTTAAGAAAATGTTTATCAAGTTAAAAAAATTCATTCAAAAGCTGTTAAAGCCTGTGCTATTTTATATTTCTGTTTAAAGAACAAGTACACAGAAACAAATTTTAAGCAACTGTAATACTACTCACACACAATGCAGACACATTTGAATGCTTTTATTATGAACGAAAGTTTTTTACAGCAATTTAGTTGCTTTAACAGCCATTTGAAACTTTCTTTTCTTAGAAGAAAGGGAACACAAAGTCAATAGATGAAAATGGAACGTAATGGAATCCTTTGTTTACCGAGACAGCCAAGACACTCTGAAACAAAGGATTCTAATTTTCTTAACATACATAGGATAATTGTGCAAAAGAGTGAATATGATTAATTTCCCGAAATCTTATTTTGAATATTATTTTTGAAAGGGTAAAATGAAGTTTGATTTTTTATCAGATTTAAAGATGAATTAAAAATTTTAGCACTCATCCCCAAACAATTGAATTATGTTTTAATTGTATAAAAACTAAAAAAGTTACAAGTACCTTTTAGCAAGCTATGCACTCTTTGCATTTGCCTGATTCAAAGCAAGTTTTCTTCATAATTTCTTAACTAAGTAATACTAAATGAAAACAAGTTTTAATAGGTTAAAGTTACATTAATAGTCAGGCTATTACATTTGGTTGCAGTCTCTCATAAGTTGAATTAAAAAAATCTGGATTTATTTTGTTAAAATTAATAAAAGTATATTCGAATGTTAAAGAATAATATTTCAGCATTAAATCAGTTAAATTTATGCAAACAAATAAATGTAATATTACATTGGAATGTATTAGGCATAAAATTTGAATAATTAGAAATAAATTTTATTTGCAAATAGCACTTTATGGAATATTGGTTGAGTGTTCACAGAAAACATCACGGAGAAAACAAAAGGAGAGGTGAAACAAAACATAATAATAGGAAAGAGAACATAGTTTCAAAACATAGCGGCATCATTGTGTAAAATGAAGTGACGACAAATCACCGGAATTTAAAATACCGTCATCGTATTAAAAAAATAAACCTCTTTTCAAATCATCGTATGACAAAAACGTAATAAAAATGCATTTTCAGGTTTTAAGAGCTTGAAAAGTTTATTGGATTTTGCAACGCGTAACGATTTGTTAGGAAAGAAATGAGGCATATTTGTATTGGCATTCTTTCAGATTTTTCAAATAAGTAACGAAAAGTGATGTAGATGTTGACAGTTAATTAAACAATTTTATAGAAATACTCTTTTTTTAATCATTTTTACAAGGTTTTTTCCTTGAAAAACTACAGATGCGGTTTTTTACATTATATGTTTAAATACACTGAAGAAACAAAATATAATGAGCACCTACTCAATAATGCATTCCGTGAACTTTGGCCTAAAAACAGCTTCAACTGGCCTCGGATGGATGACGCAAGGTTTTGGTAGATGGAAATAAGTTGTGCCAAATGTCTAAGCAGCGGTCGCGCAAAGTCGAAATATTCCAACATGACGGTGGTTGAGCTCTGAGCTGCCGCTCCATGATATCCCAAATATGCTCTAATGAGTTACGATCTAGCGAGTGATGACAGACGTCATGTAACGGTGCAACTGATCCGAAGCTGCATTCAGATAGTCCGCAGCTTTTATGGTCTGTTATACCACAACTAAGGGTCCAGAAGCTGCCCATGAAAACGTCCTCTAGCGACTAATACCGCCACCACAAGCATGTGTATGACCTGCTATAAAAGGGGGGGAGCAAATGTTAGTCTGGAAGACGGCGTACCCTGACACAACCATCGACGTGCTGAATGAGAAATCTCGATTCATCCCACCAGACAACAGTCTTTCACTTATCCATGGTCCAGTCTCGATACTCCTGGACCCACTGTAAGCGTGCTTGACGATGACGTTTGGTTAACAGAGGCACAGGAGTGGGACATCTGGTGCGCAGTCCCATATTCAAATGTGTCCGTTGAAATGTGTGTTCCAAAACACTTGCATTTGGACCTGGCATTATATTGGATTGTCAGCTGAGCCACTTTCTGGTGCCGATTTTGCTGTATCAAGCGAGAATAGTCTCGGACGTCCTTTTTCTTCGATGACGATGGATACCCAAAAGCTTGGCGTCTAGTGCTGTTTTCACCGTCATTTATCCACTTTGCATAAATTCTAATAAAGGCAGATCGTGAATAACGTGCCAGTCATGCAGTTTCTGAAGTATTCGTTCCGAGGCTTTGGGCTATTATAATCTGCGCTCTATCAAATTCGCTTGGATCAGCAGCCTTTCTCATCATTCGTAAACGTAAGTGCAAGAATGATTTTTTACTTTCTCCAAGCAGCAGTTAAATGCCATTCCCACTTAATCAAGTGCCTTCTACGTCATCCAGACGAATTCATAGCAAAATATGGAGATGGTCATAATGTTTTTTGCTCGTCAGATTTTGCTCGTTAACTACTATGTTAACTGCTACGGAATTGTAATTTTTTCGTATTTTAATTAATTAATATTAAGATTCTAAACGTTTCTTTCTTTACTTATCTAATAAAAATTTTGTTTAAAAATGTGAAAAATAGGAGAAACATATTCCTAATTTTCCTCACACACACATACAAAAAAAATCGATACACATTGCAGCAGTAAACATATAATCTAAAGTTTTAAATTTAGCAGCATAGGTCTATGATTGATCATAACACGATGCTTTGTAGGCATTTTACTTGTTAACACTACATTTTGTACGGCGGTGGAAACTGCGAAGTTTTGCCTCCGCTTTAGTTTTTGCCACGGTATACACGATACTGCCACAATGTTTTAGAAAAATCGATGTTTTCTCCTTATTTTCTTTTCTCTCACAAAAACTTGTACCATGATATTTTTCCCTCTCAGTATTTTCCACATAAAGGTTTTATCTGTGACATTTTCACCGGTAATAATTCGTTGAAGGAACTGCAAGTTGGGCAATTATCTCAGTTTCTATGCAAAGAAACTCAAATGTTGCTCAAACAAAACTCAAATGAAATCACACTTTGAAATTTATTTCATTCCGCATTTACTCGATTATTATCAAAGATAATCCATAAATATTCCATAATCCGGGAAGAAATAAACATTAATAATAAAAAACACAACTTAGAAATACTCGCTGATCTTATATTAGAAACAAATGTGCTTGGTGTGGGCACACTCAGTTAAACTTAAATGGTGAAACAGGAAATCTTTTTTCCTGTTCTAATGTACCGTGAAAGAGCGACCAAATTGTTCCGTATGTGCATGCAGTAGGCTTAGTGAATCAGGTGGAAATCCATTCGTGTTACGCAGAAAATTTGGTGCAATTTATTATTACATTCCAGGTATTATTATTAATGTATGGTTCTCTTTTAAATCAGAGCACGAACGTAGCATTTTAAATATGCTTTTATTTAACAATAAGAAATAAAGAGTAATAAAGATAAATTAAGTAAAGATTAAATGTTGCATTAATGAATATTAACAGTCCTTTCACACAGAGTTCCTCCGGCGTTGATAGAATACGTTAGTCTCAGCTAGTTTTAAATAGTATGATCATCTAAAGTCAGTTAACACACAAGAAGAACCAAGACTCCAGCGAAGACCTAAGAAGACCGTCTGTCTTCTTCAACTCTTGAAGAGGAGTGAGCCGTCTGCTCACATCTCCACTCACATCCACATCTGGACGCTATCTGACGCTGTCTGGAATGATTCTTATTGTGCTGTGCGGTGATGACGTCATTGTGCTGATATTCTAATTCAGCATCGGGCGTTGATGATTCCCACAGCTTCGGCCAGCCTGAAGAGGCATCGTCCTCAATGTCTGTTGAGTGGACATCACCATCATGTACCTGCAAAGAGAATTAAAAAATGTCCTTTGTCCAATGTCCGTTGTCCTCAAAAAAGAATAAAAAAAAAAAAAAAAAAGAGTATCAGGTCCTTAGGTTTTAAGCTGATACAAACATCAAATCAATTTGACCATGGCTTCATATGGTCAGCCGCAGTAGATGTCAAATTCGGTCCTTCATGGCATCCTACTTTCTCGTCATTGGTCATTTGGTCATCTCTGTCATTTGGTCTAACAGCTATGATTTTATACGGTCCATGAAACTTAGGTCGTAGTTTCAAACCAGTCCCATACTGAGTTCTCTGGATGGCTACCAAGTCGCCAATCTTGTACAGTTTCGGTTTCTTACGTTTTTTGTTGAATTGTTTTCGATTCTCTTCTTGTATCTTCAAAATGTTGTCTTTTGCATCTTCTTTCATTTCATCACGTTCTTGCATCAATTGCTTTAGATATTCTTCATTCAATATCTTACTAATTCTCAAATCTTCTTAATCTTATTTGTTCTTCATTTTCGTGCCTATGAGA